GCCTTTGCGTCCCTTTTTCCACCTTCAACACACACAATTGCACCTGTTGTTGCATCAAAATTTTGTACCTCTTCATCACTTTTATCTGATGTAGCAATGCATAGTGGATACATACCGAATCCTACCTCATGTTTCTTCACTTCTATGTACAATTTCACCCCATATCATTCCGAATACACAATGGAGATGAATTACCTTCTACGACGTATCTGATCTCCATATTTTTTTTTGATTCATCAATATTCAATTCTCCTGCAACTGCTGAATTAAGATTAACGAACGAAATATTTTCCTTAACCACTATGCCATCACTTCTGTATTGCTTGTATCTAACATCACTTTCCCATATTCCTGAATGCCTTAACAAGATCGAAATATTCATTACAAATCTTCACCAAAAAATGCGCTGCAATTTTTTTTGAATCAGCCTTCCAGAGCTTTTCGCAAAACAGGAAGAGAGAATTTCAAAATTTGAAATTTGAAATTTTAGGTCAGTAATCGTTTTATGAATGACTGATTTGTAGATGAAAGAAACGTATGTGTGAATTATGGCAGTCAGTTTTTATTTCTGTTTTAAATCCCTTATTTAACGCACTAAACTGATAAAATCCCTTTTTTAACGCACTGAACTGCTAATTACAGCTTCTAAATTAAAGTATCCGCCCGCATATTAAAGTATCCGCAAGACAATAAAATAAAGGGAATTTTGTAATTTATGAAAGAGTAGGGATAGGAAGTAATTTGTTTATTATACTATGTGCTTTGTATAATTTTTACTATTCTTTACAACATTCTATAAATTTGCATAGAAAAATATATACATTGATCAATAAAATTATCACTCAAACATCTAATTTCTTCACAAAAAACAGTGTTGGAAAAATAAGCATAAGACAATTTTATATATTTGTTTCTTCAAGCATAGAGAATTGTTCTTCTCCTTCACTTTTCAGCAATCCTTTCAGATTTGGAAACTTTTTCATAAGTGTCTGTTTTGGTGCCGAACTCCTTTCCATAGCAAATCGTTCCAAGTATGAGAACGTTGGGGTAAAAGATATTATGCTTATTTGGTTTTGATAGTTGTATGAAATTTTATTTGGGTATTAGAAATATGCCGGTTGTAATCACACAATTTATGTATTGTTAATTATTTTTTGGGTTTATATGATACTTCTTTTAGGATGGATTGTAATAATAATTGTGCTCTATACATTTTTTACTAATATTCCCTACAATTGTCATGTTGAAAGTCCCTTTCTTGTTCCTTTTGTATAAATTAGCCCTTTATTTTCTCGCTTTGTATTTTATGATAAATAGGTTTGTTGGGTTGCTATTATTTTTTATCTTTTGATAGGCTTTTGGTGATAATCTCTTGAATTA